CCCCCCCACCCCTCCATCGCAAAAGTTTGTCTTGTGGCTGCATTTCAGGAGGAGCCATCCGAAGCTGTGTACCAGTCCGAACATGCTCAAGTCATCTAAACCTTTGAAAGTGCACCAGATTGGCTGGCTCCCACAAACTGCTGTCTGAGACCCCCACTGCGAGAATGGGGCCTGCCACGAGCACTCACATCTCGAAGCCCTGGTTCCTAGTTCAGAAACTGCTCAGGGGCAGACCTGAAGATGTTACCCCTCGGATAAAGACTTGCACCTCGCAGAAGCTTCTAAGCACGTCTGCTTGAGAAGCTTCTATGTCTTCGCTTGAGGTCGCAGGTGCCGACCAGCGGCATCATCCTTCCACTGGCGCCAGAACAGGATGCGTAGAACTCGGATCCTAAGCAAAGCTGTTCTGTCAGATCCAGATCCTAGTCATACCGCCGGTATGGACTACAGCACGCAAGCTCCAAAAAAGGATTCCAGCCCAAACACGCAACAGGGCAAGCCAGAACGGCGGAGAGACACACACACACACACAAAAAAAAAAAAATAATAATAATAATAATAAGCATTCCAGGAATACCTCACGTAAGTACAATGGGACGATCACCGAAAAAGAGCTGCAGCTGCTGAGAGACTCCCACACTGGCCCCGCCGAGGAGCGAACGGAAGTAAGCAGGCAACAAAGAAAGCTCCAGGACTGGTCTCCCTACGTGCCAACTCGGTCAAACTACCTTATTATCATTTCGCGGAAGCGCGAAAGAAGTGCTACGAGCAGTAGCTAGCACATGCGAAGGGAAAGGACCCACCTCACACCCCGCCTCGTACAGACCATTTAGCCTGCTCAACGCCTTTTCGAAAACGTAGGCAACGCAGCAATCTATCACCAGCGACTAGCAAAAGCGCATGATCACACAATCAGGCGTGACAGGGACAAACAATTCGGCTGTGGACACTTAGCGAAGGCAGCAAGCAACCGTTGACCGTTATTCATAGTACGCCGCCCCGCAGGACTAGTGCGTAAAGGCTGGCCACCCCTTTCAGATCGTATTCTTAGACTAGAGACACGGTTTCGATGAGGTTGACCACTCTTCTATGCGCCGTATAGCGCTAATCCGCCTTGGAGTACACCCAATTTGTTTAGAGGTCATTCGGGATCCATCATGTCCGTCTTTCTGCACAGCGGTTTCGGACGGAACAAAACCCAGGGGTACTCCGCACACAGGCATCAGACAGGGATGCCCACTAAGTCCTGACTTTTTGTGATGGTTATGACAGTACTCCTCCACGACGTGGACACCAGACTTAGAACCCACGGAATTCCGCAAAACACTTAGTCAATAGGTAAGACGGTCCACGACATAGAGTACGCAGACGACACCTTACTCATGGGTGTCATAGGATCACAGCTAGAAAGCACACCCCGCTGTCCAGGTCGAGGCTGATTTACATGGTCGTCAACTCAACCAAAAAAACAAAATGTATCGCCATCCCACTACCTCGGGACATCTCGGGACAGACATAATCCTTGCTTCGAAAAAATCACTTCAGAACCATTGACGGGCGGTACTTTCGTTTTGGGTGTAGGGCAATTAACAGTTAGCTAACACTTACTAAGACACGATCAGCCCATGCACCGTGTAGTCTTCTCACTGGACCATAAGGACCGCATCAAGCATGGCAAATCAAAGAACAGAGGACACCCAACAAGGTGTTGGTTCGAGCTAGTCACCGACTAACTATGTTTACAAGAAGCACCAAAAGAAAGACCACTCCGCCCCAGCAAAGGAAGAGGGGCGTACAACGGATTTCTTAGCAATCAAACAGATGCTCCAAAATGGCAATTATTGCATTCGGCGATCGCCTGAGTACTGCGCATACACACGCTCCAGCTGCTGTCACGATATGCAGAAAAAATGTCGGCAGCGCTTGGCACTGCGCGTGCTGCGCCATCGTGTGGCTATTGCTGGGTTTCGCACATTTTCATTGCTTTTAAAGGCATGTCCAGCGCGTCGAGGAAGCTTCTCCTGGCAACGCTCAGAAGGCCCTTCCGCCCAAAACGCCCTCTGATGGCCAGCTGTCAAAAAGTGTCTGACACCCTGAAACACCGAAGATCTCCTCTTTCGCATGCTTGAATACTCTCTGAACCGGTGCCTGGGATCGCCGGTACCCTGAAAACCGCCAACGCCCAGGCCTTACATCTTCAATCTCAAAACCTTCGACAAGGCCTCGAGGATCCCGGAAAGATTGAAAAGGCTTCAGGGAGAATGAATTGTCGGCATGCGGCATAGAATCTGAGCTGGACCAGCACACGGACCATTGTCTGTAAGCGAGCCGGTGCTGGCACTTCGGCTGGCACTTCGGCATGCTTTGGCACTTCGGCATGCTTTCCACAGTCAGGGCCGCCCCCACTGTAAAGCTCCGCCGTGACTGCCACAATCGTGGCAAGCCCGGGCAACAGGCAGAGGAAATCCTCTCCAAATGCAGGTCAGAAAGAACAATCTCCACTTTCTTGCCCCTCTCACTGCATCCAGGTGACGACGGTTCGATAAAAGTACCACCGTTTGCCTTCACCTCAATACACTAGCTTTGTTACAAGCCGAGTTATTTAATTCTAAGCACAGACGGGTCTTTCAAAAAACATGAATGTGGCTGCTCTTCATGTACCATGCCCGTTCCTGGTCAGGGACCAAAGGCCGCAGGTTGCAGCCTCGGCACTGCCCTTGCCTGCTCGAAGGGCGCCGACCAATTCCACTGTAAAGATTATGAGACACACTGCCTCGACATGGCTTGCGCAGTTTTCACATATCAGAAAAAACAGCCAATGCAAATGGCAGGCCTCGAATTTCGCGTGAATCTTTTGACGATAGAGCTCCTCGCATGTTAGCTCCCCCTTTGGCGGCGGGACGACCTCCGGCAGCGAGCAAAGCCTGGAGTGGAGCTGTTCTGGTGAGTCCAAACAGCCAGTGGACCCTGGCTTGCACCTAGACCTAGATCTCTGCAAGTGCCGGGTTGAACCCTGGTCAAGCTGCGATGGCGAGTTCTTGGGGGTTTACGGTTGACTGTCTGAATCTTTCTAGCTTCTTGTTGTCGTGCTTCTCTCCGCGGCGCTGCTAAAATATAAGAACATCACGGCATGTGCATTACAGAACTTCTAAGGCCACGGAAAAATGTGAACGAACATGAACGAACCATGTGCTGAGATGTTGTTCTGATGCTTCTAGTGGTGTAAGGTGGAGACGAGAAAGGCATTTTTGCAGACAAGTAACATGTTAACGCAGAGGTTGACAACGAGGGTGATCTGAAAGAAACGCTCCCAAGGGAATTCTGTCCACCATCTTCTGAGGACCTTGGCTTTGGACAAGCGAGCTTATCCTCGCGCGAGACGCAATAGACGCCATAGACGCCTCCCTCGGCCAAGCGACGGAGTTGCCAGGCCTAGAGGGCCTTGAGGCCTCTGGAGTCTGGACTGGGCCTGGGCCTGGGCCTGCAAGCGCGACATAGTTCCACTTGGTTCCACTTCTATCACTTGTCTCCTAGCCCACCTTGTTCGATTGCTTGCTTTCGTGCAGCTTGCCTGCGCCTAGCAAACAGTAGGGCACAGCAGCGAAATCACAGGCGGAAAACGAGGCCAGCCTCCAAGTGCGCTGAATGCGCGTCACAACCTGGCAAACATGGCAGCCTTTGTCGAGATTTCAGGCGTTTGTTCAAGTTCGCACCTCTATTGCTAACAACATCCGACGCTCCACCGCTTTGGCCAAAGGGTCCTATGAGAAAGTGCCACTGAAGTTCCAGCATGTGCAAACGCAGGTAGCGTCCTCGACGGCCTCGTTCGCCAAGTAGTTCACCTTGGCGCGACCCAAGCTGTCACAAGGGCAACATGCTGCAAACTCGAGGCTCACACCATGCTGGAACTGAAAATTGCAGTCCACACCACGATGGCGCATGTACCGACCACCAGCCCAACGATCAGCAGGAGCCTGGCGAAATCTGAGAGCAGTGCCCCCAGAACCTGGGAGGTGCACCTGCCGATTCTGTGGCTCCCGCGATGGTGCGGTTTCCACAGTCCCGCACCAACCACGCACGATAAAATCCACAGTTTTCGCACCCCCAAATCGTAACTACTCGCTGCGCAGTGCAGTGCGTAATGCGCGTGTCCTGGCATACCAATCATGCTTGTCTCGGGAGCCTTAGGGCACTGCTGGAGTGGTGCTTGGGTGATCATCTCTTCCACGCTTCCTTCGATAAGAGAGGCTGTCGAAAGCTTTGGTCTCTGTGCTGGCTAACACTCGATATCCGGAGGCGTAAAAAGATGCGAACTCATGGTACAAATCATGGAATGCCGAGGACATCCAGCAAACTTGAAGGCAAATAAGCTGCTGAAGGCTTGAATCTAAAATTTGCAAAATCTGCACCGCAGCACAAGACGGCAGGATGCTTGTGCAGGGCACTTGACGTACACATCAAACGTGGACTGAGGGACTTGGCAGCGAAGGTGTACTTTACGATGGGATAGTCGCCGGTCAGGTGCAAAAGGCTGTACCTGTACAAAAAGAAGAGTTTCAGCAAGTTCTGCAGCAGGGGAGGTACTCGTAAGTGATGTGCTCAATGAAACAGAAGCAACGGACATGGTATCCTGCTTTCGCAAACCTCCTTCTGCAGACTAGAGACTCACTACTCACTACTTGTCGCTGCTTCCAGTGTCGACATTGTTCAAACGATTGAACTTGGGCTGCTGAGGCTCACCTTCAGATTTTTTAACCTCGACTTTCCACTCTCGACTCCGTTTCAAGGTTACCGGATTTGTTAGCACGTGGAAACAGGATCTGGCGGCCGCTGTAATCTAAAGAGGAAGTCTATCATGCCACTTTAACGGAGCATTCGAGCTGCGTCTGCCCGCTCGTCTGACACCCCCCAGTGTGCAAGCCAAGCTACCACGCCCGAAAAGCAAGGACGCAACTGCAAAGTCGAACTGAAGGATTCCAGAAAAGGTTGTGTCACGCATGCCAGCTAAGCCTGCTTGTTCAACTTGATCTGTGGTCAAACTTCTGCCTTCATCCTGTCCTTCTCTGCCGCTCAGTCTCCGAATCCATCGCTGTACCGGCCTCCTACAAGACCTGACAAGGAATGCTTCATCGCCTTCTCGACTGACGCACATTGAGTTGTGGGGATTGAGACCTGCTTTGTTCGCCCGGACAAAGCAACAGAAGGCTATTTGTACCGGTACTACCTCTCAGAAAAGAAAGTTCAGCAAAACAAGACACAGCATAGTAAGTGAGGATGGCCGGTGATCCACCGTAGCAGTTTGCTGCAGCTTGCTGCCTACTTAAATGGCGACTTCAGGGGCAACTGCAGTAGGTACTAGAAGCAGAGTCCATCTCCAGCTTTGGACTCTGCTAAGTAGGGGATGAAGACTACAGGAGCCTTGGCGCGCCGCTTGGACTTCAGAGGTTGGTCGCGATGAGCGATCGGGAGCGCCAGCCCATCCACTGAAATCACTACAGGGCCTGTGGCTCAGGGCGCACTGCATGGCCACGAGGTAGTCACCGAATCGTTCCGATTGCTGCATCGGCTGTATTATTTTGACCTCACGAATTCGCAGCCTCTGCAAAGCGACAATCGAGCCGCAGGCTTGGCAAAATGCGGTCTGGCTGCCAAGGCCTCGGGATCTTTATCCTGGCCGAAATCCAGAATGCATTCTACCAGGAGATGTCACACATGCTCCTTGTGTAGTTTACGGCCGCTAGAGGGCACTGTCAGCAGATATGAGGCATGAGCAACACCAGATATGGATGCATGCATCACTGATCCCTGCCAACAGAGACATGCCCAGTCTCTCGTGCGAACAGTCTATTGTGCCCTTGCTGGTTCGACCTCTGCTGGTTTGACTTGCGCACCAGCGATGGCCCATTTGGGATTGTCCATCTCCGCAAGGTGCAGAAGCATGGCGTGAGTGTACCACACCTCCCGAAGGCATCACTGAATACTGATTGTTGCGGCAAGTTTCGAGTCACATACATCAGAAGCCAGGGAACCACGACGAGAAAGTAGAAGCTCTTAATCAAAGGCCACCGGGCAATGAAGAGCACCTGTCCACTGCACTGAGCACTGTGAGCGGTGACAGCTCCGCTCCAGAAGCCTTCCGGACTGCGCGGACAACTCCGAAATAGGACCTGCGCATCATGCTGCAAAGCGCTTCTCGGCTTCTCGGCATCTCTCGGCATCCTGCACCGATGCACCGCTGCTTCTGTAGGCTTCAGGCCCGACAGAGACCAGCCGGCAGAGTCGCAGAGGCACAACGGCTCCGAGAAGGAATCCGTCGAGTCGCCATTGCTCCCATGTCTTCGGGTTGTGCAACGCGTCCTAGCACGTGCCCCAAAGCTGATCTGCGGGGGTTCGCCTAGACTCCAAAGACGGCAGGAGGCTCGTTTGGCAGGACTCCTCTCGGAAACGTGCCGGCAGAGACCAGATCAAGCCAACAATCGAAAAGAGTTCCGCAAGGCCCAGCTCAGAGACCAAGTGGCGCCAGCCTTGCGAAGAAAGACCGTCAAGTCCATCTCGTGAGTGCGGGGCATCAAAAGGCACAAGGCATGAAACTGAGCTCCAGGGCCCAGGGCGATGCAACGAAGAATGAACTCCAGGACGAAGAAATTCAGAAAAAGCGTGTCAACCCTTGCTTCAATCATGTCGACCTTCGCTCAACGGAACTTTCAGCACTGCACTGAAACCTTGTGGCCTTAGAGATCCCACTCTCCGTGAACCGAAGGCTGACGTCCAAATACAATGGACCACAAGCTGATCAACGGCCTGCACTGCAACTGCAACGTCCAAAGATAATGGAACAGCACCCCAACTCGGAGGGATGATGGTCAAAGTATCTGCCTTCCAAACAAGCTGATGGGTTAGTGACTTCTGCATGCTGAGGCTCCTAGGTGGCCGAAAAATTTGTGCTAAAATCACGAGTGTGAATCAGCCTACGAACATGACTTCGTGACCCTTGCGCAAAGCATGGAAAAGCATGGAAGCTGCTGCCAGCAGGATGCTGCTCGCCACTAATTCTACCACGACACCCAAGCCAGAAAACTCTGGCATTCTTGTTGGCTGGCGGTGCTGAGCACGTACTTGAAGATGATGTTCTTGAGCTCGCGCTCCCGACATCCCTCTTTAGCATTCATATATTGGCTGTTTTCCATCAATGTCACCTCGAGTGACTATTGGATATGAAGAAGCCATTCACTGCAGACCCCTGCCGTGACTACAATAGCATGCAAACGAGGGACGAGTGTGAAGATTAGAGATGTTGCCAGCGACACTCGCTTGAACAGCTGAAATTTCCAAGGCCTCGTCTTGATCTGGTCAATTTCCGCATGGCAACCGTGACAGAAAGCGAGTCCCCGACCTTTCTTCTCGAAGAACTCCTTGGATCACAAAATCCAGAGACAGCCATTAATGGCTGGGGATGGCAGTGGCGAACAGTCCGAGCGCGGAACTTGACCGATGATACTGCGTCTGCTGTTGTAAGCCTCATCTACTGATGTGGGCAGGCTTGAGGCAAAGGCCTTTTAGTAGTCTAGGAGCCTTTCTTCAACCGCTGCAAATGCGCGTACAGCAGGCTGAACAATTCTTTGCGCCAGCTGGGAGCATCGTCAGCCGGTTCCATCTCACAGGGGATACAAGGGTATACGACATTGCAGCGTGTTTGCCGACTGCACGACCTTGAGCTGCCACAGATCCCTTTCCTCAGCCTTCAGATGCTCCACCTGAAGCGGCAGAGTGCAGATGAAAAAAACTGCATTGACACAGAAACGCTCGCGAGGCCGGCGTTGTGTTCGAAGAAATCACCCAGCAGCTGCTTCATGAATTCGCCAGAGAAAACCTTACGCGTTCGCAAGAGTACCAGGTGAATTCAGAAGATAGGGCTATCCACCACTACAGAATCTGCCAAGCTGAGTCACGGGTGCATGGATGGTTTGCGAATCTTAAGGTGGGCATAGTTTTGAAACCGAGCGTCCATCATCGGAACTACGACGATGCTCACCCCAAAAAGGACCACAAGACATCCCACTGCCTTTCCTGACCATGTGAAATCGCCTCAGCCCATGTGGCTGAGCCCAATGGGGCACTGACTTCAGGGGTTCACTTTCATGCTGCGCCCTTTTGCCGTCCAGGGTTCAGAAAACCCATTCGCCGTTCAAGAAAATTGAAGAAGCCCAGATGGATCGCAACACGGACCCATAGTTCAGGTGAATTTCCAAATCCGGATTGCGGAACCTTGAGCTGGGTGCACGTGCATACGCACAAAGTAGTCGTCAGGTTTGATCTGTTCACCCTGAATGTCGCGGACTTTCTGATTTCAGCTGGGATACTCCGAGACAAAGAGAAGATGGGCACCAAGGAACCAAACGAAAATGGAAACGGCACCTGTCCGTGGAAGATCGTAGAAGATCCGGAACTGCGACAGGTCTGTTGCACTAAATTTTTGTTACATCCAGCTGTTGCCACAATGGCGTAATGTGCTTTCTGGATGCGCAGGCTGTAGCGGCCTTAGCACAACGACCTGTTTTGCTGAAGGAAAAGCACCTGCCTGTGGTTGCCAAAGCTTTCCGATGCTTATGCACAGCTTCCAGAACGAGCTGAAACGGATGGTCCAACCACTTCTCCAACAAGTAGATCCGCCAGAGACTGCAAAGGCCTCAGTGCGCAGCGAATGTAGCAGCTGGTAGTGGCATATGATACTCTAAATCGCCACTCGCCTCCCCTCTCCTCTCCTATTCTCTCCTCTCATGCTCCTGCGGCTCTTGCTGCCGCTGCCGCCGATGCCACATTTGCTGCTGACAAGCAAAAGCAACATGAAGACGACGACACACAAACTACAAAGAGCAACGATTCCTGTGATTGTTCACCCATTTCACCCTCAAAAAATGATCTCATCATTAGGTACCTTACTCTAGCGCACGCCGACGGCCCATAGGACTTGCAGTCTGCATTGCATGATGCTGTCGCATCCTTGAAAGAACCACAGCCAGAAAGGATGGCGGCTGTGATGCGCCTGCTGCCTGGGGACAGAAAACAAACTTGTCCTGCGACTCCTCCAGGCCATTCGCCACCTGCTCAAGAAATCCCGCACAAAAGGCCGATTCGCGACAACACAAACCGCGCTGCACCCCGTCGCGATCACGCTGCAACAGTGGACATCTGAGTTATCTGAGTTGAGTTTGACTGCGACACCCCGGGGCCGAGGACTGCAGGGACGCAGCCTCATTCGCTTGCCGAATCTTGCCGAGATGCGACCAACAGCAAATGAGAGATGCCGGGCACGGAAGCAGTGAAGTAGCCTGTGTGTCTCCTGGGAGTTGCGACTGAGGAAAGCTTGCTGTCCGTCACTTTTGGCCCACTCGGCAGAGGCACCAAAGCGACATGTCGGCTGTGTCAAGGCCGTCGGTGTCTGCAGCCTGCCGACATCTGCTCAATGCAAGGCCAATCCAGCTTGCCAAGTGCAACTCTGGCGCCTCGCTGCTGTCTCGCATTGCTGCGACGGAGCGGGCGGAGCTCGTGATCCTGTCAGCTGAACTCGATTTTTTATCTTGAAATAGCTTGGAACGTAGGCGATCGTCATGGCACGTCATGTCCAAGAGTCCAGTCTGCAAGGAAGGCCGCTCCGATAGCTCCATCGACTGCTGGATAGGCCCAAGGAGGGAACCTCTGCAGTAGCGACTGCGCACTGGTGCGTGCACACGACGTGACCTTTCTCTCCGAAGAACCATCTTCCAATGCGCAGCCAAGTACCAGGGAGTCCCATTGTCTCTGTACGAGGTAGTCACGCCATAGAAGAAGATCGATCCGAAACCCAAGATGGCCATGATAACCTTCAAACTGCAAGCAAGAAGTCATCGCTCGGAGTGAAAACTGGAAGGAAGCTGAAGCTACAGAGTGACCATGATTAGTCATAAATGTGTCTATGCAGCCGTAGAATGAAAATTATCCAACCGACACTGTTGACGAATCTATTACCTAATGGCCTCTTACCATGTTCTATGATTGCGAGGCTTGGGAAGATCGCTTAAGCCTGATGAGGCACTGGATGGAGGTTGTCCTCCCACGTCAGGCTCAGGAAATATTCTTGCCATGAAAGGAGAATTTGTCGCCACTGCTCCGGCACAGAGATGTTCGCCACTCTGACATCTTCTACGTCTTCCACAAGAGGATCCTCTTCCTGCCTTCAGAGCAGCGCAAGGCACTGAAACACTGTTGCAGGCCGCCTTCCAATGATTTCTGCGGCCCAAGTGCTCTTCTTCCTCCTCTTCCTCCTCCTCGTACTCCTCGCCGCCGCCAGCTCCACCAGCATTCGCCTCTTCCTCTTGCAGCTTGTTGTCTCTCGGATCCTCAAGAGGAATCGGCCAAACCCAGACAAGACTAGTCTGACTAGTCCGTCGGGGCTGACATGATTCCGGTGAGGAGTCGAAGGAATGCCTCCGAAGCAGCCTGCTCCTCCGTTTCCCACACCCCAACCAATCCATCAATCCCCCCCGGCCAAACCGATAAGACCATTGAATTTTTCGTCTGCTATCAGACCATATTTCGTTTCACTCTGCTTTACAGCTATCGAGCCGGAGGGTCACACATCGATACGCCGCAATATCAGCACACTTGCTTTTATTACGGCGTGTCCGCTCGGTTCGATTTACGCGACATCGCCTCTCAGGTATCGTGCCAACGCGTGCCAACCGTTCATTGCACATCCCCAATCCCGCAGGTCCTTGGCACATACTGCATTGGTAACTGCGCTGCCAATCCTTGCCAACAGCTGCAGCGTCTTGGACAAACCAAATAGCACGACACGCCGAAGCCAACCAATTCTGTGTCAAGCAGCATGCCCGCCACCAATGCGAAGATTGGAACCTGACGTGGCTCTTGGTCTTGAATTGTTAATTGTCAGCATGCCACGAGACTGAGATGACCACACAAGCGACATTCACAAAGATCACCAGCAGCTGCTCGTGGAAGTTGTCAAAAGCCTAAGAGCTCGAAGGCTCTGGAAACGCATACAGCGCATGCGAGGATGGGACATGCCGTCCAAGGCACAAGAGCCAAAGGATTCTTTTTGTACAGGTTCAGCAAGGCAAAGAACATGGAAGATGGAATGGATTCAAAGCGCTGCCAAGAAGGAACGGCTGTTACCCACCTCTCGGGCTGGTGAAACTGGCAGCATGTGTTTCGCGATTACACTCGGACAAGAGGCTCGCTCGCAGAGTTCTGGCTGTTCACTGCATAGTATAGGCTTCCTGGACCAGCTGGACACGACGAGATCAGCAACACACGAAAGAGTCTGGAGGCGCAACTCGTCCAAGGCTCCGATTAAGACCCACATCACCAGACCAAAGCCACTCATTGCAATCAGCATTCGACGGTCCTCTCTGCCCTCAGTCCGATTCAAGCAACAGTGCGGGTGCGACCTCAACTACTGCACGGCTAGCGGCTAGCAAGTGTTTCTGACTTTTGCTGCCATTTCTGTTGCTACTTCCGGCGGTTTTAGCATCTGAGTGTCTGAGCACCGGGCACCTCCCCCCTGCGTGAAACCATGGAAGTTCACGCCGACGCCCCAGTGTCCCAGGGATTCGATCACACGCACGAAGGAGAAGATCATCCAGTTCCAGTGGACAGCTCTGCAATACAAGAAGGAATAGGAAGACAGCGCTACGGCCACCTGAGACTGCACACATGCACACCCACAATTACAGAGCCGCTGGATTTCAAGAGAGAGCACGAAGTGGTGTAATGCTGCAGCTCGGAAGCACTGTCAGCTATAGAGCTGACATCCGTCAAGAGGTACACCAACCACGCAAAGCTGCCACTGCCACAGAATCGTGGGCTTTTCCTGGATGCTGCTGCCCTTACAGCCTGACAGGGGCGTGCACGCAGCTCATGGGCAAGGGCTGCTGTCTGCCAGGTATCACATGACAACACAACGCCGAAGCTGGCATGCGAACCTGAAAAAAGATCAGCAGGCAAATGGATCCCAGCAACCAGGCGTCGTGCCAGTCCGCACCTTGTGTGAACCAGAGAATAGCCAAAGCCGGGCCTACAGGCTCTGCAGGCCGACGCAGTCTGACGAGGTAGAACCCTGAGCCTTCCGTCACCCATGCAGGCATGGCGCACAACTGAAAGATTCCGTGCCCTTGGGAAGCCGGAAAATAAGTTTTCTGGCAGGGTTGTGCAGGTTGCAACTGGGCTCATCGACACGACCGACTTGAGCACATGAGCCGAGCATGATGCTTGAAGCAGCTGTCCTCCGTAGCAAGTGCATATATGGCCACGTTCGAGATGGGTATCATGACCTCGGAAAGCTGGTCAGTTCTAGTTTCGCCTCTGCCGGCTGAAATGACCGTTGACCGCCGTGTCTCGCTGGGCAGGGGCCGAGTTGCAGTGCACACGTTGAATACCATCTCAATGACTTTGGCAACAGCTGCTGTGGAATCTCCATAGATGACGTTCACGACCGCCTCTGCTTCCATTCGGTTGATGTCGTCCTTCGAAAGCGTAGAGGCCTCCTTACAATCTGTTCGACCGGGAATGCGCAGAATGACAGTCGCGATGGTCGTATCTAGAGTTGAACATGCACATAGCCAAATGCGAGGTGCCGGCGACTCGCCAAACATGTTCCTGATTTTGGGCCCAGCCAGGGTTGACCCAGCAAGGGCAGCCAGACTCAGCGCCAGTCCAACCATCCAAGCAGCCTGCAAGCACACCTCAGGCGAGCTTGATATCGAGACAGCACGGCTTTAGGCGGACTTACCACACTGGGCGCACCTTCTCGTAGGAGTCCAGACGCCAATGGTCACACAACAAAGTCGCTTGTGGGTCGAAGATGCAAGGCATCGAGATTTTGAGGGGATCATTGGATACTTGACGCACCTCAGCAATCACAAAAGTAAATAACACAAGCTCCGAAGCAGACGCACGCCTCAATTCATAACGACACCTGTGGGTCTGTGAGGTTGGAAGCTTCGATGGCTGCAGCCATGTACGTCCACCTGCTTTCTGAGAGGCTGCTGTCGTTTCGTTGATCTTTCGACAGTCGTCGAGCTCTTTCATTCCCTGGAAGATCAAATGTTGAGTGGAGTATCAGGTGTGCTTGAAGCTGCAACTGCTGGAAAGGCAAGCTGCATAAAGGTAGCTCTCTTTCTGGTGATCGAGAAGGGCCGACGCCCCATAAGCCTTGAAGCATCAGCCGACCAAACCGCGCAGTGTCCCTGGCCAAGCGGCCTTGGCAAAGAGTTCCTTGGTGTTCTTCGGTTCGACCTCGGCATATAGTTGGGAGCACGTTGATCCGGCATTCTGGTTGGTCAGGCTGCGACATTCTGGAGCATTGCGGCATCCTCGGAATCAGGTTGAAGGACACTTTGCGAAAATGATACGCAGATGTTGAGTGACAGTTGATCGCGGGTGCAACTTGTCGGCTTTACGGCCTTCTACGGCAGTGATTGTGTTCAATGTTATCAGGCTGGACAGCAAGCTTTGTCATGGCCACCCTTCTATCAGCACAGCGTTCGGCGCTCTCCAAGCATCTGCGACATTGACATCCCAGTCTCATTCAGCAAAGCTGCACGTGAAAAACAGGCAGTCTCGTTGATTGTGGCATTGACACAATCTGCTGTTTCATTTGTCGTCTCATTCACCTGCAAGAAGGCCAGTGCAGATCGCGGTCTGGTCCGGGGGCTCATGACAGAAGACAGCAACCGAAGAAACCCTTTGCGCATGTTGGTAAGGAAGCGCTGTCGGGTAGGGACTGAGGATGGCTAAGGCCTACAACAGCATCTGGCCTCGGCTGATGGCTTCTGTCCAACCCAGAACTGCGGCATGTGAACCATCTGGCATGATAGGCGAAGCATCCGAGGCAGAGCTGCAGTGGTACAAAGTGCATCACTACAGTTGCTGCAGGCTGCAGGCAGTGGTAGTGGCGCGTTGGACTTACATCCGGCCTACAAAAGCGATCAAGCTCACTTCTCGACCTTTACCCAGGTAGACCCATGACTGGTTGAACTCGAAACCAATCTTTCGGGCCGCTGATCTGAAGAGCCCACACTACACAGCTCGCATGGTCCCTCACGAGCTTACATTGAGCGACGGCGCGAACAACCCAACTGACAGAAAACCGTCCATCAGGGAAGGGCAGTTGTAGTTGTATCTGTCCGATGCCTGACATGTCAGCGCTGAAAGCTTTGGCCAAGCAATACGAAGGCGTGTGTCACAAACCCGCCCCCCGGGCCGAGGCAGACAACAGTGTCTACAAATGGAGAGCCATTGCTATACAGTTCTCATGGAAGTTAAAAGAAGGCCACTCCTGGTCAAATTTTAGAAACACGCTATTCTTGCCCCCGCCTTTGAGACAAAAAACAACTTTTCGTAATCGTACTACGCAGCATCTCAAGTACAAACAGCACAGCAGCGGCTGAAAAAACTAAGCAACAGAACTCGCCAAGCGGCAGCAGTGATTGTGTTGGCGTCCGTTGGCCCTGTCGGAGCTGTCGGCCCCACCTTGGCATGCAAACAAGGAACACCTCCCACAGCTGCTGAAGCTTTCTCTGCTCGCGATTGCTGACGCGAGGATGGCACTGTAAGAGGAGATGGGGACATCACACCATTTCGTACCCTTAGATATTCTTAGATACCCTTGCCTCCTCTTAGCACTTTTGGCCCGTGCAGTCCTCGCACGCTCCGAAACTCCCCTTGCACGGCCGAGCATCGGAAAAGCCCGCCGAAGCTTGGGAAGCTAGTAGAAAAACATCGAATGTTTACGGAACTTCTCGCGCCGATTTCGGCTTGTAGGCGTAGCATGATCCGTGTCAGCTTGTACAGCATGCAAGCCGCAGTTGGATTCCCATGAAAAGCTGGGCGTGCCAACAATATCCAACAATACAAACATATCGATCTTCAACAGGTGACAATTTGTGACAAGAAGCGCAAATGCCGCGTCGTCTGCACAGTGAAACCCGAAGGCGTCTTCGCTTTCTACGCTGGCTACCGCCCCCTGTGCTGCGGTCCCCGCGTCAATGCCCGGAAGCTTACCGCAACATAATTGCCAAGCGGCATTGGCGGTGGCTGTCGCTGTCCCCGAGATACCTGCCTGGCCGGCCTTGGTATGCAAGAACCATCTAAGCAACACAGGGCGTGATAGTTCTCCAGAAAACTGCTGCATCAGGAGAAGGCTAAGCAGACTCGCATCCGCCGCAGAACACACGGGAGCCCATCAACAAAATTGCCAAGCGGCAGCAGTGTTTGTGCTGGCGTCCGCTCGCCCTGCCGGAGCTGTCGGCCCCACCTTGGCAT